AAACCCTTCCCCCAAGAACACATTAAAGAGAAAACTTTTCTCTAAATGCACCAATATGACAAACATATTCAGTGACTGGTCAAGTCTAATTCCTGTTGTGCTATTGATTAATAGCACACAATGGAGTTAAAAAAGAAAGCCCAATATTCACAATTCCTGCCTCAAAAAGATATATTCAATTCTTTTGAGAGGCGAAGTTGGTTCTTGCTTATTCAAATACACCTGAATTTGTATAACAACCATTAAGAAACAAAAACAAAACTATGATGAGGTCAAAACTAGAAAAAAATATGTGGTGATATGTTATTTATGATTTATTAAAGCTTGCCTGAGTATTCAGAAAGCAAAGCCAGCCTCAAACTGTAGAGTAGAGATCAGGCAGTGGTGTTACACACCTTTAATCCCAGGACTCAGGATTAAGAGGTAGACAGATCTTTGTTAGTTCAAGGCCATACTGGCTACATGAAATTGATCCAGTCCTTAAAAACACAGCTCACACAAAGGTGATCCCACCACTTAGGATCACATGCCTTTAATCCCAGCACTAGGGATGTAAAGACAGGATATGGCTGGAAAGAGAAAGGAATATAAGGAGGAGACAGGAATTCAGAGCCTAATATTGTCTTCTCTTTTTTTCCTTTCTAAATTTTAGGTTTTACCTACACTTCTGCCTTTTCCCAGTGTCTTTATTTATTTATTTTTTAAATAATTTTTGATTAGAAAATTGTAGTGGCTTCAAAAAACCAAACAAACAAACAATTAGCCCCCCAACCCCCAAAAGAACAAAAAAAAAAAAAAGAAAGAAAGAAAGAAAAAAAGTGTAGTAGGAGGAAGTCAAATGGTATGTTAGTCATTTTAAAAATGGCAAAAAAAAATTTTTGTGACATGTTTGTTAAGGATCAATAACCAAAAATCCTGGGTGAGAGATTTCAATCTTGTAAAATTGAAGGAGTTTCATGTAGGGAATCAATGATAAAGATGGGGAAGAGGTTGAAAGAGCAAACAGTAGATACTAAGACAAAACAGAGAAAATGAAAACTAGTGTGAGTGAAAAGAAACACAAGGGGGATGGAGAGACAGCTGGGGGCCTACCTGAAGGCCAGGGGAGAACCCTGGTTCCACAGAGTGTCTTCTGACCTGACCTCCACACAGGCACTGTGGCATTCACGTCTACACAAACACGTGTACATTGTGATAGGTAATATTATTTGCCAACTTGATACCTGGAAAGCAAGACTCTGGGTACACCATTGATTATCTCCATTGAAGTTAGCCTCTGAGAATTTCTGTAGGATGTTATTTTGATTATGTTAAATGATCTGAGGAGATCCAGTCTACAAGTGAGCAGCATGCTCCCGAGGAGGAGGATCTGAACAGAGAAGGTGAGCTGCACATAGGAATCCCTGCTTAAATTCATTGATCTCTGTTCTGGGTTATGGATGTGACTAATTCCCTCAGGCTCCTGCTGCCTTGACGTCCTTGTTGGGATTAGAAGCTAAACTAAGCCCCTTCTCCCTTAAATTGTGCTTGTCAGGGTATTTTAACACAGCAGCAGCAAAGAAATTAGCACAAACACAGACACATGCACACACAGTTTAAAAAATTAAGAACACACAAAAAAACTGACTTTAGTGGCTGATATTAAAGTGAATACTATTGTTAGTATACTATTGTCTAGTTTCTATAGCTGCTAGGATTAAAGGTATGCATCATCACTGCCTGATCTCTATAGCTTGAGGCTGGCTTTCCTTTCTGAATCCTCATGCAAGCTTTAATAAATCATAAATAATATATCACCACAATGCTTGCTGCTGTTAAGTTCTTACTGATAGTATTAATGTTCAGACTGAAAGCACTGTGTGTGTGTGTGTGTGTGTGTGTGTGTGTGTGTGTGTGTGTACGTACATGTACTTGGGCTACTAAAGTCCTGGTTTTGTCAGTGGCCATAAAACTGTAGTCCATATCAGATTATCTTTTCTTTTCTAGTAGTCTGTGTCCCTTTTCTTTAGCCAACATCCTAGTTGTTAATATTTTTTACCTGGTAGAACACCACAAATCTTCATTTTGAAAAAAAATCTGTATCCTTAAGGAATCTGTTTTTTATTAGTTGTAAATTTCCAGTAACTCTTAACTGGTTATAGTCCACAAAGTCTTCTGGGCTGCAAACAGAGTCAACTGCATAACAATAACCCAAGGATTTTTCCCTTGATAATCAGAACTGGTAATAGTGACGGACTCTAGCTAATATGTCTCCATTGCTGGAGCTTCAGCACCAGCTGACATTCTGATTCAGTAGAAGTGCTGTGAGAACATTATATACCTCTGAGATCTACAATCTCTGAATCACCATAGTCTGAATTGCAGAAAGCAAAAATGTGATATTCCCGGGCATAGTCAAAGGAGCTACTACCATTGCTCAGCTCCTGTAACACATTTTTCTGGTAGTTTATGAATATGATATTTTTGTCATTAATGTAAAGAATATGCCATATTCTTTAAGAGTGAGCTCTCAGTTTGGAGCTCGTATCTTGTATCAACTGGGTGTTTAGAAAGTCACTGTTCTTTTAAGCTAACTAAGAGAAAATAATCACATTCATACACGAGCCCATTGTCGAAGTTTCTCTGCTGTGGAAGTGAGTTCCTTAGACATATGATGTGTGGGAAACCATAGATAGATAAAGTGTTTGCTAAACTTATGAATGGTGATACTGGAAATATCATTGGAATCGGGGAAGACAATTTATATTTCAAAGAGTCTTTTTTCATTGAAGACAGATGTTACCCATTGCTAAACAATTATAAGAGTCTTGTGTATCATGGCCTCAACATTAATCTCTTCTATCCAGGTTGAGTTTTAGCTGTGCCCAGGCCTTACTATCCTTCTTGGCATGACCTCATTATATGGGTAACCCCAGACAGAAAGTAGAAAAGAGCTAATTAGCCAGTGTCTTGTCTTCACCAATTAGGGTGTGGAGAACATTCACCTTAGAATAAAATATTTTCATGTTTTTGACAAACGTCAATCTTGTATTGCTTATGATTCGATAAACATTTGTATGTTTGGCTATCTCTTGAGTTGCTAGCCTGTGAGTAGCCTGAACTTTTCCACAATGGGACACCTTCTGTCACTGCTGCTTTTCACATGTATCTTTTACTGAGAGTATATTATATATAGCAGTCTGGTTTTGTTTTGCTCCAGCGTATTTTATATATCTAGCTTTCCTCATTTCAATCTAAGTGATTGAGTGATTTCTTTCCTTCTTAATTAGTTGTTGATAGGAAATGCAAAGTGTAGCAGTAGGCCTTTGAGTTGCTTTTCACTATTGGACTCTAGGAACATCACCAAGGTGGAAGTACTGTCATTTTTTTTTTCCCCTCCCCTCAAACACTGGTGATTGAATCCAGGACCTCTTGCATGAGACATATGCTCCATCACTGAGATGTACATACTTGCTTCTGCTCACTTCCTTGATTTTTGTAATGCCTGTATCTGTTGATCTCTCCAGCACCTGTGTGTCGAATCAAATTTTGGGAGTTACCTGCAGTTCAATTCTTTTTTGTTTGTTTTTGTTTTTGTTTTTCGAGACAGAGTTCCCTGTGGCTTTGGAGGCTGTCCTGGAACTAGCTCTTGTAGACCAGGCTGGTCTCGAACTCACAGAGATCCGCCTGCCTCTGCCTCCCGAATGCTGGGATTAAAGGTGTGCGCCACCAACGCCTGGCTGCAGTTCCATTCTTTAGGTCATTCCTCACTCTTGTCAATGCAATGTTTTTCTGTATAATGTTTAAGTTACTAGGAACTCTTCAGACCAGACTGTTATGATAGTGAGTGGGATAACTGACATAACTGGAGCCCGGGGACTCCACCAGCATAGTATCTGAATTTCTAGAATTTCTAAATTTTAAGAAAATGAAGTACAGGTACTGTGTACTTTGTATTTGTCATGGTGCTTTGAAAATTAATCGTAGAGGATAAGAATATGTTCACAATTATTTGTTAGAAGCTCTAGGGTGCTGGGTGTTGGCGGTGCACGCCTTTAAGTCCAGCACTCGGGAGACTGAGGTGGGGGGCTTCTCTGTGAGTTCGAGGCCAGCCTGGTCTATGGATCGAGTGCCAGGATAGGCTCCAAATCAATACAGAGAAACCCTGTCTCGGGAGGAAAAAAAAAGATCTAGGGTGTCTACAAGTCTCTCTCTCTCTCTCCCTCCCCTCTCTCTCTCTCTCTCTCTAAAATCTTGAGGATTTATTAGACTTTTTAAGAGAAAAACAACAGTATAGGTAAGCAAGCTATCCACAGGAGGGTGAAAAGAAGAGGAAGAGAGAAAGCTGTGACTTGTAATGGAGGTTATCAGATGGTTCACTTACCTATTCACTTGGTGGAAGCAGGAGGGGGACTTCAGAGAAAAAGTAAGAAAGTCAGAGCTATCTCTACCCAGTTATATGAATCCATCCATTGTAGCACACTTTCTTTCATTATTTGAGCTTCTTTTATAATAGTTTAGGCAGATTTGGACATCACACCGTCACTGTATGCACACTTTTTGAGAACAGTTTTTTTTTTTCCCCCTAGTCTGTGAGCAGATTGTTAGAGGTACTTACAGTTGCTCAAGCTAAATTGTAGTTGAGGAGTTCGTTCTCTCCTTCTACCATATGTTCTTTGGATGGAACTTAGTTCATTAGGTTTGATATCAAGAACTCCTACCCACTGAGCCATCTCCCCAGCCTAAGACACTTTAATTCTCATTTTAAAATGATGCTTGACTAACATGGCAACATAAGTCAAAAATCCAGTTGTAAATGTTATAATAATAGATAGATGAGGATGGGAGAGAAAATAATGTGGCCATTGGCTATTGTTAAGGACTTATTAGAAGAAAGAGAACTTGGCTTTATCATAAGCGTAGGCAAATTGATGCTATGAACATGCAAGCCAATGGAGAAGATCCTTGATGGTGTTGTGTAATAAATTAGTGATAATTTTTCTTTCCTGTCAACATTTTAGTGACTTTGGAGGTGAGACCATGCCAGGACCCCCATTTGATCCAGCAAGTCACCCCGCTCCAGCTCCAACCCCTTCATCTTCAGCGTTCCGACCTGTAATGCCATCCAGACAGATTGTAGAAAGGCAGCCTCGAATGCTGGACTTCAGAGTTGAGTACAGAGACAGAAATGTTGATGTGGTACTTGAAGACAGCTGTACTGTTGGTAAGAATCACCTTGTCAAGCCTTCATAAGTGGGTAACTCATTAGGCAAATTCCAAGTTTACGTAATTATCCTTTGAGTTGACTATCAACAAGAAGGGAAAAAGCACATTGAAGTGGGTTATTGTACTCTAATTTGAGTATATATTGTGGTGAAATTAAGGTAAGTTCAAGAATAATTTTTGATACACTGTTTTAACTCACTTTCATTGTTGTGCTTTTTTCCAATACAAAGCATTACTGTAAGGCACTGTACACACTTGACAAGCAGGTGACTGCCAAGCTGCATTCACAGTTCCATATACTGTTTTAGGATTGCTGTAGACTAAACACCTAGGAGCTTCAGAAAATACTCTTCATTTTATACCAATTCTGCAACTAAAACATACTCATTTTTATACTGTTGTATTTGTTTTGTGCTGCTATACTTACATAAACATGATTAATTTTCATGAAGACCATTAAAATGAATTTTCTTATATTTCTGCTGGGAAGTCGTAAGATTAAAGCATCGGTGGGTTCGAAGTTTAGTGATGTCTTCTGTCTGCTTCTAGGATGGAACTTGATGTATTCCCTGGAGGGGATGAGTACCATGAACTTATATGGCAGAAGGCAGAAAAGGCAAAAGGAATGGCCTTTCTTTGTTAAGCATCTTAATAATAATATCTTTCACAGAAATGGGGCCCTTGTTGACTAAATTAACCCTTAAAAGCTCTGCTTCTTGATAATATCTTTTTTTGTTTGTTTTGTTTTGTTTTGTTTTGTTTTTGCAAGACAGGGTTTCTCTGTGGCTTTGGAGGCTGTCCTGGAACTAGCTCTTGTAGACCAGGCTGGTCTCAATCTCACAGAGATCCACCTGCCTCTGCCTCCTGAGTGCTGGGATTAAAGCTGTGTGCTACCACTGCCTGGCAATAATACCTTTTCAATTAAAAAGTTTTATATATTTTAGAGAATTTCATACATGAGTACTTTGCTTATGTCATTTCACCTCTTCTCTCCCTCTCCAACTCCTCCCATGTTCCCTCTACTCTCTCTTTTAGTTCATGGCCTCTATTTCTTTGCTATTCTTACATTCATAATTCATTCAAAATGCATTATAAGCCAAATACTGTTACTATGTAATATGTATTACTCATGCACCTCTTGACAGTCTGGTTATATTTGTTCTGTACCACATTTATTCTCCCACAGTGAAATAGATACCAGTCTTTGCTTACTTTTGGCATAATATGCAAGGCATACGAGTGAATAATATTTGGGACTTGTTTTTCTTTCACTTCATTTGATTTGCTAAATTCTACAAGTTCTGTCACTTATTGTTTGAGTCTCTATTTTATCTTCTTTGTTACAGTTCAGGAATTGGTTTCATTCATATGTAACTAAAATAATTTATGGAATTTTCATATGATCGTTTTCCTCATTATATTTTCCATATTTAGACTGGTGTACTTTTTCTAAAACACAATTTCCTTATTTTACTTTACAGGAAACCTGCTTAGGCTTAAGGATTTCGTGTAGAATCTCCTTCTGTGATGCAGTTCTTTACTTCCATGGATGTAGTCATTTGAATACTTTAAAAAATGGATTTTTGTTTTGAAAGAGATACTTTGATAGAAGGAGCTGTTATGGGGCTAGGAAGAAATCTGGCATTAGTGAAATTCCCAGGAATCCACAAGGATGTCCCCAGCTAAGACTCTAAGCAATAGTGCAGAGGGTGCCTGACCTGGCCTTCCCCTGTAATCAGATTGGTGATTGCCTTACCTTAATTGTCATCATAGGTCCTTCATCCAGTAACTGATGGTGGAATCAGGTGCAGAGATCCAGAGCTAAGCACTGGGCAGAGCTCCGGGAGTCTAGTCAAAGAGAGGCAGGAATGATAATTTGAGTAAAGGGGTCAAGACCATGATAGAGAAAAAAACACGGAAATAGCTGATCCAAGCTAGTGAGAAGTAGGGTGGGGTGGATCGAAGGTGGGGGGAGCAGGAAGAAGTGGGAACTGGGATTAGTATGTAAAAACGAAAAGTTTTTTTCTTTTTTTTTTTTTTAAATAAATGGATCTTAAAGTGCAATTCTTTGTGTTTAAGGTTTTCCTTCTGAATGTTAACTTCTCATCCTTAGAGGACAAGGTCTCATTTTAAAATTTCTTTCTCTATTCATAGTATCTGCCACAGTCATATCTATTGAGTGATTGGCTGCCTAAAAAGAGTGTAGGTATGTGTGTTTATATAGATTAGCTTACCCATAATAGGACATTTGAAAATAGACACTGTAATTTTTGTGATCTGCAGTATAATTGTTATGGACTGTTTTGAGGAATTGAACAAATGTTAATTTTTCTATAGAAAAGAGATGCTCAATAAGATAATGCCTTTTTTTTTTTCATTTTAGTTGGAAGAAGATATAAAAATAAGACGAAACTCAGTTAAGAAAGTTATACCAGACTGACACCTAGTGGTAGCTGCATTGGCTGATTAATGGTTTTCCTGTCCTGTTTACTTCTTCAGCTTCATACCTAAAACATCTGAGTTTTTTTTTTCTTTTTCTAATCTTGAATAATTTAAAGCTATTTTAAAGGACTTGTTCTTTTATAATATTTACTTTCTGTGTAAAATAATGTGATCTCTTTGAGGTCATTTTTTTTTTTTAATGTATTATTGTGTCTTCAGGTTTTATGCCAGTCTTTTTTTTTTTTTTTTTTTTTTTTTTTTCTTTTGTCGTTTTTGTTATTTTGTCTTTCTCTCCCCCTGAGCTGAGGACTGAACCCAGGGCCTTGTGCTTTCTAGGCAAGCACTCTACCACTGAACTAAATCCCCAACCTTGCCAGTTATTTCTTTAAAAGTTTGTTTTATCAGTGTTGTGAACAAACTTGTGTTTGCTAGATCCATTCAGCATGGCCTTAGTTCTATTTCTGGGATGTATTAGGGAACAATAGATCTATTATCAAGTTAATCATTTGTCTCTTCTGCCCACCTGCTTTTAATCTACTTTTTAAATAGTTTATTTCATGTGCACTTGTGTTTTCCCTGCATGTATGTCTATGTGAAGGTGTCAGATTCCTTGAAACTGGAGTTGCCATGTAGGTTGGGTATTGGGAATTGAACCCAGGTCCTCTAAAAGCATCTTATAGAAGGTCAGCCTTAACTGCTCTTAACCACTGAGCCATCTGTTGAGCCCCTTAATTTATTTTTAAAAACAATGCTTATTATATTGAATAGTGTTTTAGTTTAAAAGAATGAGCTTGAAAATATAAACATTTAAAGCATTTGCCACACATATTTTGTCCAGAATCTGTGAATTTCACTTTTTATCTCAATCCTGTGAGTCAGATTAGCTAGTTAATTTTTGGCAGATGCCTTAACCAGTCCAGAGCTTCAGATATGTTTTGTGGATAATAAGCAACAAGTAGGTTTTTTTTTTTTTGGGAGGACGATGTTGTTGCTGTTACTAGTAATTGCAGAAAGGGAAGCGTGGTTGTCTTATTTGTCTTGCAAAGATATTGTACAGGTTAGAGCATACAGTTACAGATTTTACTTTTGAGGAATATTGACAGTAAATGTTGTATGTTACTATTGATTGGTCTATGCTCAAATTGTGAACTCTGTGTCAGCTATTGTGTACTACCAAAGTACAGAGCCATTTAACTTAGTAGGACTTTGAACATAATCTTAAGATGCATAGTTTTTATTCCCACCTAATTGAACTTTTGCTCCTTGGACTGACAGTTCCTCCTTCCTCACCCTGACTCTTTCCTCAACCTTAATTTTTTCCTAGACTATAGTAACCTACTATCTACTTCTCTGAGTTTTCCTTTTTAGATTTCACATACAAGCAAGATTATGCATAATTGTCATTTTGTGGCTTGCTTACTTTATTTAGCATAATGTCTTCTATATTTATTTTTGTGGTTGCAAATGACAGAATTTTGTCCTTGATGAATGTATGATGAATACTATTATATTATATACATACATATATTACATTAAACAATACCCATTCGTCTGTTGATTGGCATTTAGGTCACTTTTTTTTTTTTCTACTGTGAATGATACTACAGTGAGCGGGGAGGTATAGACATCATGTAAAATAGACAAGGAATCAAGTAAATCCTTTGTTAAGGAGAATATAATAATGTGACAATATGTTCATTTCCTTTAGTCATTGGGGAAATATAAACTAAGTCACATTGAGATATATTAATGTACAAATTAGGATTGCTAAAATGTAAACTGAATACCAAGGACTGCAAAGAATGTATAGCAATGTAAGACTTACCATTGCTGACAAGAATGCAAAATGGCAAAACACTTCTGAAATAATTTGGTAATCTTATAAATTGAAACATGTTGCTATATGACCAGGTAGTTCTCTTCCCAGGTAGTTATTAAAGAGATGAAAACATACACATACAGATAACTTGCAGATAGAAGTTCATAGTATCTTTATTTGTAATAATCCCCAAATAGAAACACTTCAGCTGTCTTTCCAACAGATAGATAGACAGCTGGGGTATAGCTTTGTAAGGAGTACTACTTAGCAATCAAGGAGAGCAGACTAATGCTGCAGGCAGTAGTGAAGATGAATCTGACACCATTGCAAGAAGAGAAAGGAGCTGCACACTGACAGTGATCTGTATAATCCCACTTCTATTTTTACATAATGAAGCTCATGTTGAAGGGAAGGTAGATTTTTTAAAAATGCAAATGTCAGTGTTAAAGAATACAATATTCACTCATCCAGTAGTACTATACGTTGTTATAAGTCACGTGCAATTCATACAGTGTTGCTTCTGTACTATAGTTTCAAGGAACCGCAGGAACCTGTTAGTCACACTTTTGAGAACCACTGCTTTAGATGCATCTGAGGAAAGCGTGTAAAGCCATTTCACAGGTTAGTCTGACACACACACACACACACACACACACACACACACACACACACAAAGATGTAAGTGCCTGCCAACTTCTGTACTTTTTAAAGACAGTCATTAATGAAGTTTCCATATC